ATGCCTCCCTGCCAAGTCCCTCAGAGGGCAGCTGCAGGCTTCCCTCTCCCCTGTGTATGCCTTAGTCTCATCCTAAGTTCTTTCCTATGAGCAATCCTTGCCCCCTCCCCTGCATTGCTAACATTTCCCATTGCTTACTTTTAAAATCCACTCTGCTGCCTAGCATCCACAGCTAATCCAAGTGGCTTGCTGCAGGGGTTAAAAACCAGACAGAAGTTTGACATCTTGTAAGTAAATGAAAATAAGGGGAAGAAAATAACAATTAATAGTTTGTTCTATGGAGCTGGCCAGCTTTTGGATGCACAGATAAAATACTTATGGGTTAGAGAGAGAAGATGAACATTTTTAATAAGGATACATTTTTTATTCACTAACGAGAAGACACTGGTGCTGATGCAACCCTTCCTTACCTTCTAGGAACCACTCTGAGTTTAACTGCAGAAGTCTGAGGGTCTGCTTTGGTATTAGGTACATCAGTTCTGGTTCAACTTCAGTGAAAAAACAACTCAGAATATCAAATAAAAAGGGCAAGTGATTTTAATCATGCTGTGCATGATTTTATAAATACCTTTATTTATCTAGAATTCTATTTTTTTGGTAATTTTTTCACTTGTGTCTGCTTTTTTTTTCCATTTATGACTTCAGCCCTTCAATAAATAAAGCCACAAGTTTTGCAATAACTATACCATTTTGTTTCTGGTCTTTCTAACTCCTTTTTGGTGAGGCAGCCTGTTTTCTTTATCTTTTTTTTTTCATGAACTAAGGCTCAGGAAATTCTCATATGATGTGCATCTCAGGGGAAGGGGCATCTCTGTTTATCTACAGGATGGAAATTGTTTAGCCTTTGTGGTTTCTGAAAGATGTTTGTAGACAAAATGGAGCTCAAAATACAGCCTAATCCACAGTGAAATATTAGTTCTCCTTTCCTGTCAGCTTTCCTAAACCAAGATTTCGCCTTGTCTGTGAACATTCCCTTGAAGAGGGCAGCTTGGATGGCTTCCATGTCCTAACTCTTTGATTTGTGGCAGCTACGATCAAGTGGGAATAGAGCTTGTTACAGTAATCCATCAGTGGTATAACACATGCAGGAACATCCCAACGAGGGAGACCTTGGGCTTCACGGGGAAGGTTAAGGCTGTAATTTCTCTTAATGTGATTTTGTCTGGCCTTTTTAGAATTTCATCCGCTTTGGGCAGGGCCACTAGATCAGCAAACCACAGACTGAAAGACTGTGCTCAATTTTGCACGCTCTTAGACCTAGAATTTTTTATAAGTGACAGCAGTATGTTAAGCTTTCTTCCACTTTCTGTGAGTGAAAAATAGAAGATTCACTTGAGAGTACACCATACACGGTGCTGAGGATTTTGGAAAACAAAGGCTGTTCTTTTTTTATCGTAATTTTAATTTCAGTGATTAACTTGGTCCTAGTAAAAAAAAAAAAGTGAAATAATTTCTTAACAAAGAGAAGAAATAGAGAATGAGAAACCAATATACATAAATGTTGAGAGAAGAAGAATCACTCAAATTAAAAAAAAACAACCCACCATAAAAAAGTTAAAACCTTCCAAACATGAGAAACCAACCTCACTGAAGGCAATAAACTAGAGCATAAACATAGGCTATATAAGAGGAAAATTAGGAGAACAGAGATGGAATCCAAAGAGAAAATATCTAAGGATACAAAACAAAAGCCACAAATTCCTTTATGGTATCCAAAAAAAATGAAAATATGTAGGAGGTCTTGGATCACTAGGGATGAAAGAAACTGAGGAAGACAAAAGTTAGAGAAGGGAAGCAAGATGACTTCTTGTCATCTAACTTCACCACAGAGGATGCTGGGGAAAGAACTAATCTACTGTCTTCTTTTATTTTTCTTTATTATATTTTTCAATAGACAGGAATTAATAGCAAGGTTTGAAAACTTGCTAGCAGAAACAAATGTGTTGGAGGATGATGTCTTACAAAGCAGTAAACAAGCAGAATATAAGAATTCTGACAGCCATCGAGCCACTGACTAAAATGAGTATGAACACATATGAAAGAACACTTAGTAACTCAGAGAATCAGAGAACAGCAAAAGTTTCACCTATCCTTAGAAAAGCAGCAAGGTTGATGCAGAGGTCCAGGTTTTATTACTATATCTTGCAACCTGGCTGAAAGGATGAATAATAAGACATGTAATACATCAAAATAACCACTATATTCTGAATATGTTTATAAAATAGTGAACAGATAAGAGTAAGTAAAGAAAATTAGATTTCAAAATCTTTACAAGAGCCTCATGGAAGGCCACCTATGAAGTGTGAGGTTAAGAGAGCAAAGAGAAGGAGGAATACACATAGATTTTCATTTGATGACAGGGTGAACAGCAGGTGTCTCATGGTTTGTACTTTGTATTTCAAAGTTATCTGGAACCTAGGAAGCACATCAAGAGGGTAAAATCTACAGATGGCAGGAAATTATTCAGATTAGTCCTGACTGAAGATTATTAGGGGGTTGAGAGATAAGCAGTAAATCTGCTTTAGCAGATCATGGTCATTACTGTAGATCACAATGAAGTGCACACTGCAGGCAGTACCAGACTCCTCTGTGCATTGGGCTGAGTTCTGGATTGCTCAGTCAGCTCAGGAGACTGCCTGGGTGTCCTTGTGAACTGCCCAAAGACAACTGGTGTAAAAAGGATGACAACACTCAAAAAACACAAAGAAAAACTCAGGACATCTAACAAAAAATATCAGAAGCAGAACAGACAAACGTCGTAAGGATACGTCATTGTTTAACCCCAGCAAGCCACTTGGTCACTCCCTCACCAATGGGATGGGGAAGAGAATCAGAAGAGTAAAAGCCAGAAAAACTCATGGGTTGAGATAAAGACAGTTCAACAGGGAAAGCAAAAGCCACACACAGGCAAAGCAAAACAAGGAATTAATTCACTGCTTCCCATGGGCAGGAGGTGTTCAGCCATCTCCAGGAGAGCAGGGCTCAATCATGCATTATGATTCCTTAGGAAGACAAATGCCATCCTTCCAGATGTCCTCCCCTTCCTCCTTCTTCCTCCCACCTTATATACTGAGCATGATGTCATATGGTATGGAATATCCCTTTGGTCAGTTTGGGTCACCTGTCCCAGCTGTGTCTCCTCCCAATCTCCCATCCATCCCCAACTTCCTTGCCAGCGTGGCAGTATGGAAAGCAGAAGAGGCCTCGGCTCTGTGTAAGCTCTGCTCAGCAACAACAAAAGCATCTCACATTATCAACCCTGTGCTCTGCACAAAGCCAAAACATAGCCCCATAGTAGCCTCTGTGAAGAAAGTTGATTCTACCCCAGCCCAAACCAGCACAGTGTATAGCATTTCTAAGGAGAGGGTGGAATATTGCGTTTGCTATCATTCAACCCATTCTAAAAGGAAAGATGGAGGAAAAGTGTGGAAATGGTCTCATAAAAACAGATGTAAAAGGATCATTTGAGACTTAGACGAGGATCTGAAGTCTGATTTAATTTGGTCTTGAACTAAAAAGGGTGATGGGCCAGATGACCTTCAGAGATCCTTTCCTATCAAAGTTATTCTGTTAAATAGAGATAAAAATGTTTTGACTGTTTAATATATTCAGACAGTAAATTCTGAAATTGGAAAATTCAACAGCAGACAAAATTAGATTATGAATTCATTGTCACAAGCAATGCACTAGGAGCCAAAATAAGATTTGATTTTTGCATGAAAAAAAATTGTATTATACAGGGTTATTTTCCCCTCCTCAAGTCCCCTGCCAATATCCAAACAAGGTAGCTTTTGGAAAACAAACCACTCCTCTGTTTGATGTATATAATGAGAATTATGGCTCATGAAATAATATTTTACTAAGGAAACTCTTCCTCCACTTTTGCCTCTTTCCTTCTTGTGCTCTCCTTTCAAGCAGCTAGTGTTGGCCACTGTCAAGACACTGGATTAGGTGGATACCAGTATTACCTGCTGAAATTATTTCCATTTTCACATGAGACATAACTCCTGAAAATAATGTACATGTTTTTCTCTCCCATGTTTACTCCATTAATCAAGTAATCTCCTGTTTTTAAGGGTCATTCATGAAATCTCGCACTCTGGGAGCCCCAGGAGTGAGGTTACAGAGTTTCTATCATGCCTGCTAGCAGCAGTAATAAATAATCTGTGTACCACATTGAGCCATTGACCATACCTATGCATTAGCCAGGCGCTTACCATTTTTAAAAAAGAGGTGCTGCCACAAGTTACCTTTATTGCTATTTATCTTCCCTGACTCCTAATCATCAAAAGTATTTTCAGGAGGACAGAAAAGGAGCACTAAAATTTAGAGAACATCTTTACTTTGAGTGTGATGGAACACTGGAACAGGCTGCCCAGAGAGGCAGTGGAGTCCCCTTCTCTGGAGATATTCAAAACCCACCCAGATGTGCAACCTGCCCTAAGTGAACCTGCTTTAGCAGGGGGTTGGACTAAATTATCTCCAGAGGTCCCTTCCAACCCCAACCATTCTGTGATTCTGTGAGTTAAACAAAGTATTTCAAGGACACTTTAATTGTGGAAACAATTTTATTAGCAACAAAATTATTCCTTCCATTGCCCTTAAAATGCAGTCAAGTATCTGCCTTAAAAAAGAGATTCCCCTATACCACAGAATAAATATATTTGAAGATACCGATCAAATAAAGTTTTAACTTGAAAATAGTTCCCAATAGTTATGTACATTAATAACGTACATAACATTAAAATGGCTGTCATAAGTAATGGCTGCCTATTAGTGCACTGATGAGGGAATGACCTGACAGACAGAGATAAAGCTCAGAAGAGGGAGTACTGGCTTCTTTGAAATACAGTGTGAATAACACAGTCAATCTACCTTCATAGAAAGTGATGTAACCAGGGAGGAACAAAAATCAAAGAATAAAGTAAAATCTTCAATATTTCACTTCAAACGGGTGTTTTAAAACCAAACATATAGATATATTTACCCACTGGACATACCTTGGCTGACCTAGTGATGGCCCCAATCTCTGAATAAAGATCGGTGCTGTCTGGGAACTTTTCCACCACCATAGTGCAGACGTGGTGCAGGAGAGACTGTTTGTGCACTGTGTCCTTGACTTCTGGAACCTTCTCGAGGTAGCTCAACTCAAAAGCTTTGGCCTGCAAGGGGAAAAAAAGGGAAGAAATTAAAAATAAAAATGCTTACTCCTTTCCATGTGGATTAGTAGACAAAAATGATGACCAAGTAGGGGCAGAGAGGAAAGAAGAAGAATTCTACAGGAGAAGAAACTTAATGCTTTTGTTTATTTTTAACTTGTTGAAGAGTAGGCCTAAAATCAGTCCGTCTATGGTGAAATGACTCATGACACAGTTCTCACAATTTGAATGGGGAGCATCAACACTAAACTCAAGAGAGTTGTACTAGAAGAGTGCCTAGCTCCATATTTCCTTCAGATTATGCTGAAAGAGGCAAAGAGCAACCTGACACATGATGAAAGTAGTCTCTTTTTTTCTAAATTACTTTTCTGGAACAAAATAAATAGTGGATTTCAATTATCATAATGGTTTGACTTCTGTTTTTTGAAGGAGAAAGCTGCAAGGGAAATGCTGGGACATCAGGCTTACGTTGGTTCCATTCAGAAAGTTCCCAATGGCTAGTAGAGTAGAAAGGATAAATCCCAAAGTTTTATTGTGCTCCAGTTGGTCCATTCCTTCCTTCAGGTCTAGCAGTGGTTCTGCAACTTCCTGCCATGAGAACAGAAAGAAGAAAGTGAAGGCTGCAGTTGGCTATAGTTTTTAATTCTATGGTTTAGATTAATTACTGTAAAAAGTTCCTGAACTGGCGTCTTGCAGAGTGTAAACTGGCCATGTGTGCTGGCTTTCTTCCATGTTCCAGCTAATAAATCACATACAAGGACAGCAAAAAAATACATAAAATACTTTCCTAATGTTGCTTCTTTATGTATGCAATTGCCTTACTTGTCTTGGGGATTATCCTGTGATTCCAAACAGGGGAGAGAGTCAGAGAAGTGGCTGCTGCATTTGAGTTAGACGCATGGACATCCCCCTGCCCCAACTGATAAAAAAAGTGTCTAAAAACTATTTTTTCTAATCTTTGAAATACAAACAAAAATGTCAGAAACCTGGCTGACTTGACATTTGCAGTCTGACCCTAAAGCTTTCTTTGAATGATGTCCACTTCTGAGTTTCAGGCATTTTTTTTAAAATCTAAAACTGAATAAATCCCCCTGCTATAAACATCAAGCTTTACAAGTATTCTCATTTCAATCTTTTAACTTAATGCATCCAGACATGTTATCTGAGTATAGGTATGTAAACTGATAAGGCTTGAAAACAAATTCTGTTCCATTACCTCGGAAGTGAACTACACCAGAGAGTTCAAAGGATGAGAGTGAAGGTAATTGAGTTGACAGAGATTATTCCCATGTCTCTGTGTGAGGCCCAGGATTACTTTTTTTTGTATGCATGGTAACAGCTCACATTGTTTGTATCTCCAAATGCCATCTGAAGTATCCGTGAGCAGCATTCTTTTCACAGAATCATAGAATGGTTTGTGTTGGAAGGGACCTTAAACATCACCTAGTTTCAACCCCCCTACTATGGGCAGGGAGACATTTTTTCCAAATTTCCCAAATTTTTATACTCTTCATGACCCAAGAAGCCAAAATTAAGTTGTTATTTTAGACCAAGAGGCAAAATAACGGAGAACTTCACATTTTTGGAGATGCACAATGGGTTCTTCAATAACTAGTGCTGTTTTACCATAAAAGATGACAAAGATGAATGAAACATATATTTCTAGTCACTACAGAACAATTCATCTCTTGAAAAGAGCATGCCAAATTCAAGACAAATTAAGAGATGATATAGTGATCCAAGTAATTTATACATCAGAGGAGAGGTGCTAAATAATCTAAGGCTTTACCAAATTGAACTAAAATCAAGAAATTGCCACACAGAATTCTTTGAGTTGCTTTAAAGTCAGTGTTGATTCAATTTGGTTTGTTGCACTATGAGGAAGAATCAAACTGCTCTGCATCTGCTGTAAATACAGGCTTCTGAACTGTTTTACTGGGATCAATTTTCAACCTGTTAGAAAAAGAACATTCCTAAAAGGTTAATTTAGAACATTCTCAAGGTGAATAAAAGCAGCATCAAAGGCTTCCAAAGTAGGCCATACTGAGTCCTTCGTTTAGCTATTTAAAGGCAAGTTATCTGAGCTTAGACTTTCATGCATATAGTACACATTTATAATTAGTGTTTATTTTTTTATTCTATTGCAGCATTAAAACCCAATAAAAATAGTCTGCAAGATACTGAATAGTCAGACAAAATACCCATTCTTGCTTCCTATAAAACTCATCTTCTACCTAAAGAGGGCAGATACATAAGGCAGAGCTACCTCATATCCTTGGATACCATGTATCCTTATGCATCATGTTTGTATTTTTCACCTAAAATTTATGTTTGAATGAAATTTGAAGATTGCTCCAGAACTTGTCTGTGAGACATCTGATAATGCCTGATAGATGTTTAATACACATGCACAAATGAACTCAACTATGTGTGTGCAACGAGTCCAGTGCTCCTGTGACAGGGAGGATGCAGCATACATGTTCTGAACAGCTGATCTGACATATGCATTATTTATCAGCCTATTATATGGGTAATAAATTTAGCTTACTGCACCTATAAAAGTTCACTTGCATGCTTTTCTGGGAGGGGTAAAAACTTGTGTGGGTTGGGAACTTTGAGATGACCAAAATGCAATTTCCCATATGTGCATTTGATGAAGACTGGCCTAAATACAGTAACACATGCTTCTAAAACAACAAAAAGTATCAGGATCATACAATGAAACTCATAAAGTTCTGACACACTTTTTAACATGTTCAGACAGTTTAAGCATCACTCAAAAGTACAATCTGTTTGAACACTTATTTCTCTACCACACGGTCTCCAGGGAGACTAGACTCAGGAGTAATCTTTCTGCTCGAAAGAGAAACTGAAGCAAGCCTGTTTCTTTACTTTTCTCATTTCTACACCTGCTCACATTCATTTATAATCCCTTAAAGTTGTCAGCAGTAAGGATATATTTACCTGCAATGACCATAAAAAAAAAATAAGCTTGTTTATGACAACCAAAGTTTTTCTTTTTCTTTAGAAAAGACCTTTAACTCCCTTGAGGATAATGAAATTTGACAGCACCTACAGCATAAATAGTTCATTACAAAGAACTGGTAGTAACACAGTGTAATTTTTCAGAGCAATCAGAAGTCTGAAGATGAAGATTTAAAATTGAAACTCTACATCTTTAGTCTATGCCTTTAAAATATAATACCAAATGAAAAGTTGTTGTTCCACTAAAGACCTTCAGTAGGCATTTACATTCACATTTCAAAAGAGTATACACATAATCAAACAAATCATTTGGAAAGGGTTTTCATCTTCTATTTTCTGTAGAGAAAATAGAATGATTATTCATTCTTCCAGTTCAGCCCCTCACAGTCTGAGGACGCTCTCTACAAATGTACTCTGACTTGCTTTACTTAATTAAACTCAAGCTAAGAAAGAAGACTTCCTTCATTATGCCTGGAAAGCTTTTCATGAACCTAAACAATATATTGCTTAACCTGTTTCTTGAACAATTCAAGCTCTTTTCTTTCAGGTTGTCAGACTTGGAGCTAACCCCTTCTTAGGCAAAACTGTTTCTGGCAGATTAGCAAAAGAGTCTCATATATGAGAACCCTGGCTTTACACCAACAACTCAGGTATTTCACACTATTGATATCATGGACCATCTAAAACTTCCAGGCTCATGGAAATAACAGCAAGGTTCATTCACTTCTAGCATAAAATATATGTGTGACTCAATCAGTAATATGAGTGCATTCTGAACGGCTATGAATTTTCCCAATTTTAAAAGAGATTTTAAAAAAAATCAAGCAAATGGTGGACAGAAAATATTTACAGAAGAACACTAGTAGATCATGGAACTCTTATAATCACTAGTGTAAAGCACTTATGTTTTTAAAATTGAGCATGCTCATAGTATCTTATCTCAGCCTAACTAACATGTATGTTTATTGCTTACTTAGAACTTAAACTCCTTTTGTTAAGTCAGACTTAAGAGCTCACTCTCTCTTCTATACCTGATGTCTGATCCTGTATCTTCCTCTTCACCCAACTAAGACCTGATCTGTCTGTGCTATCTATGCTTGTCTGCTAGGCTTCTTATCACATGCTCCTCTTATTTTATCAGAGTTATCACATGCTATTTCCTCTACCATTTTACTGTAAGTACTGTACTTAGGTCTAGCTACCTTTCAATAGAGATAAAAATGTTGGTTCTATCTTCACTCCAGCTATTGCTTTTTTGAGTAAGTTAAGTATTTAAGTCACCCATTCTACACTGATTTTAGCTGGCAATTCATTAAGCTAACTTTGTGGCATAAACATTATAGGCTAAGCATCAGGAAAACTACCAGAATTTCTTGAGATTTTAGCAGTCTTCAAATGTTACTTTTCGATTGAGAGGGCACTAGAAATTCTGGATACATGTAGAGATTAATAGCTACAGCTAACTCAGCTTACATGAAAGGAAAAAATTAGCCTCCTGGTTACTTCAAAGCAGAATAAATAGCTTCCCCAGAGTAAAAAAAAAAGACAACTGTCAAAAAAGTGTTCATGCCAGATACAGGTGTTTTGTTATACAAGTTAGAAATCAAATGGCTAAGACTAAATTATTAAAACTAACAAATCCTGAATATTAGTGTGATTGCATTTCCTACAATCTAAGAAAATTGAGCAGAGGTTGAGTAATCTTGACAGTATCATCTGCATATCAATTCACTGTTGTAAAACTTGTTAAATAACCATGGCTAGGTAAACATAAGGCATTTTCACAAGCATGCTCCTGTTCTCAGAATCCATGTCACACAAATTATACTGATTTTTTGATACACACATATGTGCACAGATATACATACAAACCTAATATACACAGGAGAGAACTGCTTTAAGAGCAATGCATGGGGTATGCACCAGAAGAAGGTTCCTGTACAGAGATTCCTGCAAGACCTTGTGAAAGGCAGCAAGCAGCTGAAATTGCCTACACAGTTTTATTCTGTTTCTCTTATGCACCAAAATTTGGTGCATCACCTCTTTTTGAAATCTTTGTTTGTGATTCATTGTTCATGACACACAACCCAATTGTAGTGTTGTCGGAATGAACACCATCCATGGAGAAAGTGGCAACAACTGTCTGTGACTGAACTGAACAGAACACCCCCGAAGGATGTCTTATCTTTTGTTCAGAATTTCAAGAGCTACAAACAAAAAAAGCTTTAATGGTGGTGTTTTCCTCAGTTCAAATGGATGTAAGATCGATCCTCTCATTTTTTGATATAATACTGAATACTGTAGTCCTCACCCAATCTTTAACCAAAGAAAAATTCTTATTGCTCTGAAGTAAGAATTTCCTGAATAACAACATCTAGAGAAGATGTGGTAAAGATTTAGCCCTCTTCTTTGTTTCAATGTCATTACTGACTAATTAAAGGAAGGAAGACATAATCTCTAATTTTCTTCTATAGAAGGAATAGATTATGAAGGATCATTTTAGCTGTTTCCTGGTTGGCCATCGAAACAAAAGCAACCCATTTACCATTTCCTCAAAATACATGCTCATATAATAACAAGGTCAGGGAAAGATTAAGCAAAGTCTCAGAAGAATCTCCATCCATGCCTCCCTGCTTTCCCCTCACCTTTTCCACTATCTCGTAGTCCATCTTGAAAGCCCAGAGCTGGAGCCTGGCAGAGAGTTCACTGATGGAGGAGAGAGTGAGAAGGAACTGCTCAGCACTGCCCAGGGGGACGTCAGGATTCGCCAGCTGTGCCTCCTGGATCTTTTGCTTTTCCTCCTCAGATGGGATCATGGTCAGGATTTTCTGTGAAGGGAGACAAAAGACAGGCATTAGTGGCAGGGTCAAGAGGTGTGCAAGGGCTGGATGCTCGGCAACTTCACGGCAGCAACAGTAGAAGTCCTCAAGTCATAGAATCATAGAATTTAAGGGTTGGAATGGACCTTACAGATCAACTAGTCCCAACCCTTCCTGCCATGGGCAGGGACACCTCCTCACTAGACCAGGTTGCTCATGGCCTCATCCAGCCTGGCTTTGAACACCACCAGGGTTGGGGCAGCCACCACTTCCCTGGACAACATGTTCCAGAGTCTCACCACCCTCACAGGAAAACTCTTTTTTCTAATATCTAAGCTAAACTTCCCCTCCTTCAGTTTGAACCTGTTACACCTTGTCCTATCATTGCAGCTCCTAACAAAGAGTCCCTCTCTGGCTCCTTGTAAGCCCTTCATATATAGAAAAGTTGCTATGAGGTCTCCACACAGTCTTCTCTTCTCCAGGCTGAACAGCCCCAGCTTCCTCAGCCTGTTCTCATAGGAGAGGTGCTCCAGTCCCTGGTTGTTAAATTAGGACAGCACTGTAGTCACCAAGAACTAACCCATTGCACCAGAAAGCAAAACAAGGCTTGCTATCTCACATACCTGCAGTTTATTGGAAAATACATCTGGATTAAAATGTCTTTTTTCTGTTTTAAGTCTGTACCCAGTAGATATGGCTAATTATGCAATGAAACACTGAATGAGACAAAGGGAGATTCGTTAGGACTGATCTTTCATATGTTTAAGTCAAAACTTAACACCTTCCTGCAAATTACATACAAAAGTGAGGGTAGAAGGAGAGCAGTTTTGTGGCATGTGATTTATAGCAGGTCAGACTAGATATTAAGGTCCCTTTCATCCTCAATATCTACAAATCTTCCATAACACTTGCAAGTATACAGAACTAATTTGAAGACTCCCGTCCTTCCTGTTCCCATAATTTCTTACTTTTTGTTCAGTCTGTTTGGGTTTTTTATGAAACATCAAAACTATTGCATCTTACTAGGTCACTCCCCAAAATTTCACCCTACGTGACAACTTCCCAAGGAACACACATTGAATTTAAAGCTGAATTATGCATAGTACAACATACGGCCTTTTTCTCTTTTGATCTGAAAATTCTAAAATATTGATAAAAAAGGATCTCCCTATTTTCAGTTTCTGCTGTCAGTGTGGCTCAAAATATTTAAATTTTCCCTTTAATTCATGGATTTTACATGCTTGTTTATATGTGGCAGCTTTGTTTCTATGTATTGCATCTTAATTAGTTTTAAACATAATAAATGCATTTGGAAATAAAAAAGAAGAGCAGAACAACATAAAGGCATCAGATAAGTTGAGGTCTTTACCCTACTGATCAATGCCTCCCTAAAGCAAAGCCGATTTTTAACACAGCTATGTTTTTTCATCTGAGGAATGACATGTTTTTGCTGTAGCCTTCTATAGTGATAGAGGCTGTTTTGAAGAGGAGGGGAGAATAATAAAAATACAGCCAAAGAGCTATCAGACCTGCCAATCCAAACTACAGCCTTGTTCCAATGCTGGACATAACTAATTCATCAAAGCAGCACAACTGCCCCTTTCCAGTACCGATAATTCCCCTGGTTGTTTGCACTGCACTGGAGCTAAGCATGGAGAGCAAGGGAATTTTCCTGGTCACTCAGGTGAAGAACAAGAGTTATGCAGACAAGTAACGTTCAGTTTGTTGGACTGGGTGGGTAATTTCAGCCACAGCATTTGTATTGCTGTCCATTTTCTTATGCTGACTTCCATGAACATAAATAAAGAAGCATTTCTTTCTGTTAATGTTGGCTTTATCTCTCAGTTACAAACAACAGCAACAAAAGCCTCCATGCTTGGACATGGCAAGCTTCTACTTTAATATCCAAATTAAAAATGAAGAGGAGAAAAAACCCTCAATATACTCTGGTGCTTTCCCTCCCCTGTCAATGACGGCTTGGAAAATATACTGATGTACACCTGTTCCAACTGATAGCATTTGTGTGTTGATTTTGAGATGTGCCATTCACCTATCCACGCATTCACCCACATATGTTGAAATCTGTAACCTGGTTACACCTCACATCAAACTAGATTTGTAAGAAGCTGCTTCAGAACATTTCTCAGTGCTTAACCAATACTCATCTAAAAAGTTTGTAAAAAAATAAGATTGAGTCTGAAACTCATAAGAAGAAGTGTTTTGCAGTGTCCCTGGAAGAAATCAGGCCTCCTAGTGCCTACTTCTCTCTTCCACAAGAAGAAGCTAACACTCCCTCAGCTGAGACAGGGCAGCTTGCAAACAGGATCATATTGAACATCCATACATGGAGAGTTTAGCAGTAGCCATGTGATGGATGTAAAAATGCTTCTGATGCACTTTTAAAGGCTAACACTTCAGCAGTATTCTCAATTGCCTCCTACAAATAAGTAGGACTTTTGCCAGCTACTCAGGGTTCCCACAAGTATTTTGTGGTGGGGCAGTGCCTTCACTCCAGAGATTTTGCACTGCTTTGGGGCATTTTAAAGAGCAATGAACTAGTAAGCTTTATTTCCAAAGGGACTCTCCTCCTCCTTGAACTTTATGTAAACACCACAAGATAGATGGAGCTGACAGAAAGCATTGGAGTCCAAGGACTGCAAGGCTGCTGTGCTGTGTACCACAGTATGTGAAACAGAGAATGCGAAGCAGAAGAGCCTGTACTTGTGGTACCAGCTGCTGAGGATCAGCCCTGCTGCTGAAAGCCATGCCTCAATGGGACCAGAGCTGCTGGCAGATCTCACACTATCCAGGGAGCAACTGCCTCCATAACAATGACCTACACCAGCATGTCAGATCTGCTTAGGAAAATAATTCTGATCCTGCTGACCATCATCCTTAGTGTGCCCCTGAGCAAGTGGCAAAATGCTCCTACTTCTTGATTTCCACTCTATGACTAATTTGAGCCATTTGTTCAGTGCTGGAAACTGATAAGTACACCATCTGCCACTTTATTATTATTTTAATTTTTATTACTATGATTTTTTGAAACACCACCAACAGTAAAAGTGGCATAAAACCACAGCAGGGCAAAAGGTTACTGGTACCTGATGTGGCCATTAAATCACAAATGGCTTTGAGTCAAATCATTAGTTCACGATGCTCACTCTAGTACACAGAATCACAGAATGGGTAAGGTTGGATGGGGGCACAGTGGGTCCAACCTCCCTGCTCAAGCAAGGTCATTCTAGAGCACATGGCAAAGAATTGCATCCAGATGGTTCTTGAATAACTCAGTGAGGGAGATTGCACAACCTCTCTGGGCAATCTGTTCCAGTGCACAGTAACTCACACAGTAAAGAAGTTCTTCCTCATATTCAGGTGGAACTTCCTATGTATCAGTTTCTGTCTATTGCTTCTTGTCTTATTGCTTGGAACCACTGAGAAGAGCCTGGCTCCATCTTATTGACACTCTCTCTCCAGACACTTGTACACATTGACAATATCTGCTCTCAGCCTACCTCAGGGCTACCTAGCCACTCAAGGCACTTAGATTACAAATTACTTAATGTGGGTATGGAGGGCCCAGCATACATGGACAGATTTTTCCATTTCAAGTAATTTTATTAAAAGCTATACCTACTAATGCAATCAGTATTGTGTAGCATCACAAAGTTATATTGTAAAGCACAAAACAACACAATTTAATTTCCTCACAGCATTACCCTAATTTAACTCAGCTAAATTCATCATATTCTTTGGTATAATTTGATTTCAATCCACGTCCCCTTACTGAGTAGCCCTTTACAGACAGATCCACTTATTTCCTTAACTAAAGCCAAGCACCAAGGACTGGTTTGCTGGACTCCATTCTTGCAGTTGCCCATGATACATCAAAATTAGGTGACAGGATTTTAAGCTTGCCTCTTTTGCTTAGCCCACAGAAAGCCCTCATCCATGCTAAGAAGGCAGTTCTTTATTCTGTGGTGAGCGCCGAGTTGTTTGAACACAATGAATGCCAAGCTTTCAAAGAAAGGAAAACACAAACACTTTGGCAAATGTAAGGTGGCAAAATTTTTTTTAGCTGGACTGACGCATGCTTGCAAACACATATTGTGCATTCCTTTGAAACTACGTTTTAAACACTGCCTGCTTTGCATACTAAGTGTGCTACATCTGCTCTTCTAGCATCATGTCCCCATTTTCTGCCTTTTTCACAGCTCAGAGGTACCTAGCCACTTTTAACACATGGCCTAAAAATATACAACGTACTTAGGAATAGATGACATTAAAATAACTGGAGATATTTTTCTAGTTAGTTACATATTTAAAATTAAGAAGTGAAGTATGGATTACTAACAAGAGTTCAATGTCACAACTGGGTCACTATGGACTTGATGATGAATTGGGCTATCACAAACTTGTAGCCTGCAGCCCACTGCATCACTGATTCATTGCTAGCACTACTGTCAAAACTACTTTAGTCCATTGTCCTTAAAGGAATTGCTAAGGTCAGTTTTAAGGTATCATCTAATCCACCAAGGTGCAGAACTAAAGCCACACACACATACACTAACACAAGAGCCATGATGCTCCTCAGTGAAAGACAGCACAGAGCTCATACAAAGGCAAAGGATGGCTCAGGTGACTTTTTTACCCTGTCGGCGCTCTGCTCTGTGTTGCATCTGATAAAAGCTGAAGGCGATCCTAAATTCTGAAATTTTAGCAGTGAAAGTTATGTTGTCTCCACACACATTACATCTCCTTTCCTGCTTTCTTTACATCTCTCTCTTCTGCTTGCTAGATGAGACACTTATAGACAATTACCAATGCAGAAAGGTTTTTGAGTATCCACTGCAATACAATTTTTTAATTGGGTCAATTGCATATTTTGCTTTTGCATACCAGTCCTGCCTCATTCAACCCATAGCTAAGCTATGAATTATATTATATAGTAAATAATTTATTATCTGTGTTATTTTATAAATTAATCTAATGCTTACACTATTTCTGATTCATTCATCATTGCTACTAATTATTTCCTAATGTTTAGAAAGTGTGGATAAGTTGGGGCTGTTCATCCTGGAGAAGAGAAGGTTGTGTGGAGACCTCAAAGCCCCTTCTAGTATCTGAAGGGGCCTGCAGGGAAGCTGGAAAGGGACTCTTCATTAGGAACTGTAGTGATAGAACAAAAGAGTAATGAGTATAAATTTGAAGAGTGGAAATTTAGGCTAGACATTAGGAAGAAATTTTTTACTGTGAGGGTGGTGAGACACTGGCACAGGTTGCCCAGGGAGGTTGTGGG